GGGTCGCCCTGTAAAGCGGTGTCGACCGGGGATCTGCAAAAGCGGCCTGGAGAAGCCCTGCAGGCTGGCTTGCAGTGGGAGTACTGGTTTTGGCGCTACGGCTGTAAAAGCAGGCAGAGCTTGAAAACGGGCAGGGTCTTCTCTTGGGTCAGCTGTGAGGGGAAAGGCTTTAGACAGTGGGCTGTAATACTGGGGGAAGACAGATTTTAAGCCTACAAGCCGGTCATCAAACCTGAAATGAAGAGAGGGCTCATGCGCAAAAGGTTCTTTTCCCTATGTTAGTAGAGCTAAAGAGGCGCTGCCTCTCACCCCAAACCCTACCCCTTAGTAACAGCACTGCTAGTTTATCTCCAGATTTTTTCCTTGCAGTTGCAGCAATTCGTTCTCTATGCCGGTGTCCCCTGTAGTCGTTACAACTGCACTGCCACCAAAACAGTCAGTCAGTGACCGTGGGGTGACACCATGCTGCTGCCACCATGCCCACAAGTCCGCAGGTAGCTGGGCCAACCTAAACATCTTCCTGCAGCCAACAGGGGAGCTCTCCGACACCTCTTGGGAAGTACTGACATATTACGTGATGGCAAAAGTACTCAAGGAAAACTGCTCCATGTAAGATTAAAAAAAATAAAAAGCCCATTATACCAAACATATTCATAGATAGGAAGGAGAGAGACTGAAGACTCCGGTATTTGTTGATAATGAGGCAAGTAAATAAAACACACATCCCAGAAACACTGAAGGTGATGAGTTTCACGGTGTTAATACAGATTGGCTCTTTTTAGTGGTTTAGAGGAAAAAGTAGGTTTGAGGAGAGTCTCAAGTAGCATGCCAAAGTATATACAGTTTGAAGAAAACAACTGTTTGTCTGGGTATCTACAGCATTTGAGAATGAAAGGAACCTGAAAATGAGAAAGTAGTACGAACAGATTCAAAGAGTATTTTTGCTTTTTAGGGACAGGCAGACAGTGGGTTTCAAGGAAGGAAAGAAGGTAACAGCAACACGCAGATGTTATCACTGAATTCTGATCAGTCTGTTTTGATCCATTTGGCAACAGTAACAACTGGATCAGAGTGTCAGAAAGAAAAAAGGAGTGGGAGAACAATACTACAAGAGAGAAATAACCAGGCCTAAAATAAGTTTATCTGTACATTTGTTCCCTCGTCTCAGAAACAGCAGCCAGCTTTAGCTACAGCACTTAGCAGCTCTTCTGTTGACACACCAACGGTCACAGGGTATAATTCAGCAGCCAGGGATTTTGCTGGCTAAGCCAAATTTTCCCTTGAAATGCTCTCAGCGCTGAGGCCTGGAAAGAGCAAGCAATAGAGCTGGTTATTAGCTGCGCATCAGAGACGCTCAACAGATGTTCTCACAGGCTGTGAACTAAAGCAATCCAATCTGCTGGCAGACAAAACCAGTTTTGGCATTAAGAGTTCAACGCCACCTGGACATGCCTCTTATTGAGAAGTGGCGTGGGACAAAACTGCTTGCAGCTTTGCACCATTATAGTCATATTTTTAACTACAGATGTTTCTACAAGATTTTATGAGGGAAAGCACAGTAAACATTTTTCAGAATTTAAGAAAAATTGAGAAAATCATATAGCAATAACTTAGCATTACATCGACACTGTATTTTCAACTGTACAGTGCTAAAGCGACATAACAGTGATCATACTGCATCTACCAAATACCAGACTATCCCAATTCAAACTATGCTCCTTCCCTTATGCCCCTGCACGTTCGTTTTCGGCTCTCCTGATCACACCTCGGTGGTGGCAGCCCATGAGTACCTGTAGAATCACCTTTGGGCACCTGAAAGGAGCAGGGAAGGAGGAAGAAATCTGGCTGTCGACTGCCAGCCATGCAGGCAAGCCAAGGGGCTGCCCCTCAGCTCCCGCTTTATACACATTTGTTTCACTATGATATTTACCAAGATCCCAGAGCACCGCAAGACTTGAGTTCAGTCATCTGTTCAAAGATACAACTGCCTTGCCAAGAAAACCCAGCACTTCTCAATACGGGTGATTTATGAAATCCCTTGATGTGTGCAGAGGGGAAACCACTTAAGATGGCTCATATCCATACAG